AGTTACAGATCTTCGTTCCTGGTCGCATTCCATTTTGAACCTAAAAAATTCATCATTTTGTCGGCCATGGTTCTGCCTTATAGTTATAATATTTCGAAGAATCTATTGCGAATGCACAAACACAAAATATATTTTTTACAATGTCGCAGCAGAAAGAGATGTCTTTCAAATACATTCCCTTCTAATATTGGCACGATAACCTACCTATTGCATATGATTCGAAGAACCGAAAATATTGTGGAGCAATTCGCTAGTGTGTTCCACTGAAGAGGACCAGATTACGTTTCAAGGGAAGACGCTGGCACGAGCATCGAGCGACAAATAATATGCGCAGCAGAGACTCCTCCATGTAGCCGAGCGTTTTTCTTTTCTTTTTCAAGCACCGGGCTGAGAATTCTACCTGAATTTTGCCACGTCTACTGCAATACCGTATGGAGAATAGAATAATTTCACGCAGACGAAGAATTTGCAAAATTCATTTCTTAACAAAAACGAGGAGAAAGGCGACATTTTGAACAGTCGCCATTTGGAGGAACGCAACTGCGTTGATTTCTGAGAATTCGTGTAATCTTTGTTTTGAAACACCACCGTCATCTTTTAATTGCTAGAAGAACTAGGATTGCACGAAGCGGATCATAATAGCATGGGGCAACTGTGAAGTTGTTTTTCTTCTTTTTTGGATAATTTACTTCGGTTCGATCGACCGTTTTTCGGTAAAATCGATCTAAAATTATAAAATTATTATTAAAAAGATCACAAATATTTATATCAGAGAAGTCAGAATTTTAGGTAAAAATGTAAAATTCATTATTATTTCGATGTTCATGTTATTAAAAAAAGTTATTAAACGCTGAAGATCGTTGTGAAGTTACTTTATGTTCCTAATTTTTTATTAGTAACTCAACAAAGATTGATTAGATAATATATATGGAATGAAATAATTTCATTAGTCGTTATCAATGATCTAATCTTTCAGCAAACAAAATCAATGATTCGAAGATTGAAGAAATAACAGATAAATTAATATTGAAAATTTTCATTCGCTTACTGCAAATTTATTGCACGTGTCATTTGTAATAGTGAGAAGAAGCTTGTACGTGAAATTTAAGCAAATTGAGCAAAACAAGTCAATTCATTGGTACAGATCGCCTGTACTAACCTATTGTGATGCTATTTCCCGCATGTACACATAACCTCTCTTGGTAATTGCCAGACTGCCTTGCAGCCGAAAAACATGAATCACGTGAATCATACAGGCTCATGCTGAGTAAGGAAAAGAACATGACAACAAAGGAAAGAGAGTTAATCAGGTATGCTTTCAGGAAAAAAGTATTACCTCCAGTTTTCAAATCGGCACCTTCTTGGATGGGGACGATCAATAGCGGGAAAATACCAGTCAGTCCGATCACGGTACTTCCAAGCAAAGAAAACAGCCATGGTGTGTAATTTAAATGTTCCACCGCGTCCCATGGCGACCATATCTCTATAATCATGTCATATAGAAATCCAGTGGAATCGGTGCAATTCTGCTGCATGCACATGTCCGCCGCCATGTTTGTGCTTTGTGTATCGAACAATCTTTTGCTTCTTAAAACCTTCCGGATCTTTCTCTTAACTTTCTTGACCCTTTGATTGACCCTCGTTGATTTTCCTTGCTGATTTTACAATCTTTGCCAGAGTCTACGAAGAACGTAGTGAACCGAAAGAAATAAAACACAAGAAATTTCTATCTTTTCCGCTTTGTTTATTTGAAGATAACCTCTCTCACAAACGCCCTCGGAAGACGTACTTGAATTTTCTCGCTGATTAACTATCCGGAAATTATACCGACGTCCAAGGAATCTTTCGAGTAATGAAATGTCGTGTCATCGAAAGAAAGATTTATCGGAAGAAACGAGCGTTGAGAAATCGTCAAGACAACGACTACCGAGCGCCCGACTAGCCTGCACTGAGGACTGAGTACGGACGCTATGAAATCAGGCTGTCGCCGCCTCTACTGTCGTTGTCGATTTTGTAGATCAAATCAAGCCTCTTGTTATTTCATACCGACGTAGTGCCGAGGATAAAAGCAGCGAGATCAGTCCTTCAATGCTAGATATCAAAATCACTCTGCTCAACAATATATCACGGTCCCAACGACTCGGCGCGTCTTCTTCTATTCCTTTTTTCTTTCTTCGGTGTTCAACTCCTTTAGTTTATTCGATTCGCATTCGTCACGACAGTCTCTCATGCCACCGAAAGTAAGGGCACAGTGTGAAGTGTTTTGCTCGTCTCGGTGTTTTCACTCTGTTACGTCCTCAATTGAAAACAGAGTTCGAAACTTTGAACAGAAATTTGTACGATTTGATGTAACGACGTAATCACTTTTACCGCCACGGCTGATAAACACGGTTACACAATAGCACCACGATAGTATGTAACATACGTATTTCGAGAAGTTACGATTTGGCTGTTACATGTATTTTTGGTTATGTACCACTGGAACTGATCGTACGCGGTAAGTGATATCCACCGATTAACGAGTAGAATTGCGATGTCGTTACTCTACCTTTTATCTTTAATTTAGACTATTTCGTTGAGAAGGAAAACAATGAATTACGTCACCTATCCACCACAACGACGCAACGGCTAATGCGTATTGCAATGAAGGCAGTTCTTTTTATAGCTAACGAAGCGCTCCACCGCGTCGCTTCAATAGCTGTAAACAGAGACAGAAACATGCTGCGGCGGATAAAGAAGGAAAGTAGAGGATAGAAAAGTGAAAAAGGAAAGAAGTAATGGAAAATCAATGAAGATGAATTTATTCAACGACGAGAGAGTTTTAATTGTTTATTACGAATAAATACGCGCCGAAGAAGAGGAATGAGGGGAAATTCATTTTCGTCGTTATTGGGCATTGAAATTCATAGAGGCGCTGCTGTACTTCCTTCACAATTCTATATTAACGCGAAATAAATCGAATGTGAAATAAATGTTGAATATTGTAATTTTTAATAATGAAATAATTATGTAAAAGTAAAGGTGAGATAAAATTCTAAGTATTTTTTTTTTTTTTTTTTTACATTTGAAATGTAAAATATTTTATTGGAGTTTCAAACATTACGAGAAATTTCCTCCATGTGACAACTAACTTTATCACGAAGATATTCAGTATTTTTATCGCGACACTTCTACGTATTACTTTATATTTATATTTTGTATTTTAGTGGCAATGTCACCATTAGATAATAAAAGTATTCAATTTTTACATACACACGAACATATTTATGCAACGTAGCCACTTTTAGAGATAAAATTGAACGAATAATGCTTTCCAAATTATCTTTCTCGGAGTGCATTTCTTGCGATTTATTGCGAAACGCCACTTTTGCGATCGCCATTTTCATGATCGATTAACGTATAAATATACGCTTTTCTTTAATCCTAGATAACAATTGTCTGTCTATAGTTATTACTGATAAGTTTAATAAATATGAAAGCAAACAACGGAAACAGTGAACTGATAACATATTGCTATTGCGTAGCCATATGCAAAAGCTTGGATGAGAAAGAAATGTCTTTCCGGCAATATACGCGCAATTAGTTGTAAAAATATAAATATCCATTAAGAAGACATCAATTCATCTATATGATCTGTCTTGTGTTGTTTAAATTATTACACACATATACGTATTAATAGTTATGTAACAAATTACAAATTATTGTTTACATTTATAAAAAAAAAAAAAAGATTTGAAAACAAATGTTTCTTCAATTTGCATCCACAGTTGGTAATATAGAACTTCTAACGCCATCTTCAATGTTACTCTGCAAGCATACAAATACGCAAACTGAACAAATACATAAATATATATTTTTTCCATTAACTTGAAATAATTAAGAAATATCGAACCGAATTTTGTAATATTTTATATCATTGTTAATCCGAAACTATAACGAATCATTCATTGACAAGAGGATAGAAAAAAGAAAGCATTCGTATTGATGAAATAATTATAAACAAATTGTGGGGAAATTTACATCGCGTAAGATCTTGTAATTCTCCGTCAACATTCGTACATTATATGCGGCCTTAATTAATCAAATTGCTAATGGCGCTGAGCCAAATGCTACCTATTTGGCCTGCAATCAAAAAGCAACTGTCGTGCATACACAGCATTTGTCATTCACAAAATTCTTATTATCGGAAAATCCAAATATGTAATACAGAACAATATTTTTTGCGAATCGAAAACTGTCTTTTTATTATATAATGAAATTAATCATTTTCAAATATTCTATAATCCTTTCTTCCCTTTCGCACTTTTTTAAATTTATACATACACACACAAAAAAAAAAGATAATAGCACTATGTTAAAAATATGCTGATTATTTTTTGCTCATTCTTTGTATTCTAAATTTTTTTCTTTCTCTCTTTCTTTTTAAATTAAAGAGTATATATATATACTGGATAATTAGAGAATTTATTTTCCACAAATTCAAATAGCTAATAGAATTAAACGTTCTCTCATTTTCTTGTAATCTAACTATGACTAAATGGTTACTATAAAAATAAATACAATAAAGACATTATCTCAATGATTTAAGGTGAAACTCGGCGTGCTATTTGTTGTTGGATTTTCGAAAAATCCCGCAACGTATCATGACGGCCCTCTGTTGGCTGTGCATCCTTGCGTGGCACAGCTCTCCAGTCAGTCTATTTTAGGGAACGACAGAAAGTTAAGATTATTTTAGTTACATTTTTCACCTCCGATCTAGAACGTAGGGTACTTTGCCATACGAAGGTCGAGCAAGTTGATTTTCGAGGGTTGCATGCGTTCCGGTTAAAACGGCGATAAGTATTTAGAAAAGAAAAAAAAAGAAAACAACGTGAAAAGAAAAAAAAATTACTTCAGAAAGAATATTCTGAGAAACATTACAATTACAAGATAATTATATAATCCAGATCTCGACATGTTTCTCTGAGAGCTTCGAAAGAAGGAAATAATGGCCAGTCATTAGACGATGGCTTATTCTTTCATCCTTCGACAAAGATCATCTACAAGGAAGAACGTACGCAATCTCGATCTTTTTTTTTATCAAATTTTCTATTTTTTCGTACATGCGTGATACATCAATTGTTTGTGTGAAACTTCATTCTACGATTTCTTATTGTTTCCTCGAGTGTTATTCCACGTTGTTAACTAAATCGACAACGACATAGTGGAAGTGTATTCTTTATTCTTTCAGCATTTATTTCATTAAACAGTGCAATGTTAGAGTGTAATCAATGTGCTATTTCCATAGAAAAGTATATGTACGTCCGTGTATGTCTTAAGATTTTGACGTTTAAATCCGTGCTTGATCAATCGATATATCATCATCATGGATACACGAAAAATGTCCAACTGGAACGTGCTGAGCGTAGAAGCAGCTCTTCAGCAGCTGAACAATTTCGATGAAGATAAAAAGGAAGTTGCAAAACGGTCGAATACGGTACATGCATCGGTTTTCCCTTCTGTCTCATAAAAAATTTTTTAAACGCAATAATAATCTCGTATTCCTTCCACGCTGTTTTTAAAAGAAATCTGTAATGTCATGCTTTTTTTTTTTTTTTTAATGCACAACTTGCAAAAAGGATTATGGACGTCTTAAAGATTCTTCTTCTTTCAAACGTGTTACCAAGATATACTAATGCGTTCTATCTATTCTTATCTTCGCTTGATGGCTGCTTGACTGACTGCTTGCCTTTATTTATAACTAATTAAGCTACCACTCAGTCCGAAATGAGTCCTAGTCCAGATCAGCCGGCAAACTCTTGACAAATTGTTTCCCAGTCTTAAGGGACTTGACTTATTTCTTAATAAGCGGCGGTGCCCCGAATAGTTAATAAACTGTATCAACATGAATCGAGGAACAGTGAACTCTTTTGTGATTCTTTTGCAGTTTTCAATAGTTCAATCGAGAAACGTGTAACTCCAAGTGATTTTTTTCCTCGAGATCGATTGTAATCGGGATAATTAATTGCACTTGAGCAATTCTAATTGCAATTATAATGAGCATCTGGCATCACCTGGACGTGGAATTCGCCACGAGTGCTATATCTAGAGAAGATATCGGTGGTAATATTTATCGAAAAAAAATTGTGTCGAAAGTGGTAATTATTTCACTAATTGATAAATAAAATAAAATACACTAATTGATAAATTTATTTGATTAATATATATAAAAAAAAAATGTAATTACGAGTATTCAATTTTCGAGCTAACACTCTGTTCGTGCAGCAGCATTCATCTTATCGTAATGTTTAATAACATCACGCGAGGGGATTTACTTGAAAAGAAATCCCATTTACACCGGATGAAACCATCTAACAAAGAAATCATGTCGATGACGACATGCACTATCGCATCGTGCGACTCATGACTTTCTCTGATAGAAGCTGAGCTGACAAATGATAAACGTTAACTTCAAAAAAAAAAAAAGTAAAAAAATACAAATATATCATTCGATAAATAGTTCTTATCCATCTTGTTATTTAATCAAAACACTCGAATATTTAATATCTTGACGCCGCTAATCGCAGATAATAGGTTCCAAGTTTTTTTTTATCGAAAAACAACAGTTTGTGTAAGTACCACGTGCATGAATCTGTCGTTAAGTCTCGTGTCGGATAAGTTCCAAGTCATAGATCAACTAAATCGTTCTGGCCGATTTCTATAATGCTCAACAATCTGACAAAAAATAATCTGACAGTATATTTATTTTATCAAGTATTTTATGAAGTAATTATTTTTGCTCGAACTAAAAAAAAAAAAAAAAAAAAAAAAAAA